TCAGATTTCCTGACGTGTTTATCATGCGTTAGACATTATCCTATATTCCACGCATATCAATTTAGCTTGAGGGTGCATAAAATGTTTCCCAATTGTAAAGGGAGCGAACACCCCCAATCCTCTTCCAAAATTGTTTGGTTGAACTTTTTTTTTAAAAAACATTTCCCATTCCTTCTCTTCCATTTATGGAGTTCCTCAAAACATCATCAACATGATAGTAAATCTAGTGGATATTCGTAAAATTATTTCATCGGTAAAATATTATACGTACACAGATACAACAAATCATTAGATTATCTCTTCAAAAGGATTGTATATTCCAGATTTCTAGCAATGTCAATGACAAAAGTTGTTCCACAATAGAAGATCTATTCGACGATCGTTATTTATAGAAAGATTTCTTCATATGATTCAATATGTTATTTATCAGTTGTAGATGTTAAATTAAATGACTTTTTATCATACGAGTAACTTTTTGAAAAACTTTTATAGTAATGAAAAGTCTTTTTTTATTGGTAAGAAGAAGGACCCTACCGAAACGAAACATCTTACAAGTCCTTCCGGACCGATTAGCGGGCTAAGCACTTTAGTAATTGGGGGAAGGGTAGGTGAATTCTCACCCCAAAGTGCCTCTAGGGGGGTTTTACCACTAGACCAAGCTATGCTTGGTAAGAAATTAATACTTCGTACGATTTTTTATTGACCATACCATACCAATTCTACAAACTAGCTACTTCCATTTCATCGTTAACACTCTCTTTCACCTTCTCCCTCGTAACAAAACACTGGGTAATGAAATGAAAAGAACATGCATTTTACACTATTGTCAATGTAGAAATACTGAGATTGCCAATGTAGAAATACTGTGTGATTATACAAGTGTTTTGAATTTTCTTAATTCGCGTTTTGTATGATTTAAGTAAGAGCTTTTTAATTTTGTGTGCAGTAGAAACAATAATAAAAGTATTGTTATGTTTAGGGGTTGTTTGGTTGGGGGTAATCTGGAAAGGGAATGGGAATCAACGGTCTCGATTTCCTTTGTTGATGTTTGTTTTACACTATTAATCATTCCCTTTACCCTCCTCATTACCCTAAATCCTTCCAACTTCATTCCCCACCCCCCAGACCACCGCCGCCCCTATCCTGACCACCGCCGAGCCTCCCCTGACCACCGCTGCACCTCCCCCGACCACCGGCTAGGGTCTCTAAAGATTATAAAGAAGAGCTTAATCTTCGATTAGATTATAAAGAAGAACTTGAATGCTGAATTGGCTTCGGTTTCTGAAGATTTTTCTGCTGAATCAGTGTCGGAACCTCTCAATTTATCGGTGATTTCTGAAAATTTGTTCGAAGACAATCTAATCGGAGCATCGGAGGTAAAGTTCGATTCTCAACTTTTCAAAATTTCCGACAAAGATTGTTGATTTAAAAATCAGCAAAATCGCTGAAAATATTTTCGAGGGGAGATCGGGGCTGGCGCGGCGAGGGGAGGGGGAGGTGCGGCGAAGGGCGGCGAGTGGTGGAGGAGGTGCGGCGGTGGCTGGAAATGGTGGGAACTGAAAAATTGATGAAATATGTGGTGGTTGTGGTGGGGGAATGATTCCCTTTATTTTAAAAACAAACAACAAATCAAAAATAGGGTAAAAACAAACAACAAAGCAAAAATAGGGTATTTTCATTCCATTCTTCTCCTTTCCCTTATTTCGTTCCATTCCGATTCCCTCGTGCGAACCAAACGGCCCCTTAGTATATTAATCTTTTTTCTTTGAATAATGAATTGAATGATGTGACTGCAACTAGACGCATAGCTGCTATTTGTTTAGGATGCATATAGGAAGGCTAATTGGTAAATTTACTTACTTTTTGTGGTTTTTATTGCTACAGTGATATTTTTAATGTACCATTATACTTACAGTGGTATTTTAATGTACTATTAGAATATAAGTTAATTTAATAGTACTATTTTAGCTATTATAGGTAACTGTGGTACAATATTTGTACCACTAGAAAAAAAAATCACCGTTCTTTTGTCTTATAGCTGTTATTTACTTGTCATGTAAATAGCAGCTATGCGCCAATAGTTAACCAAATAATGTTACATAAAATATTTAGTTATGTATGGACTATAATAGTTATTGTATGAGATTTAAATTTGAAAATTGTTCAAAAATTCAACTTTTATTAGAAATTTGTTGCAAGAAACCTCCTTATAATTTTTTTTTTTTTTTTTTTTTTGTAAAGACATAGCTTAATCAATTTTTTTTTCTTTTTTTGCGAAATCATATCTTTATGACGGAAAATGGGATTTGACCCCTTTTTCCGGCGTTGACTACCCCAATCCACCCACGAAACCATCTCCCTCTCTTGCCCCGCCCACAAAATCACCCTTTCATGACGTTGACCACCCAAACCCACCCCTTTAACAGCGTTGACTACACTAAACCCTTCTCTATAGCCCTAGCCACCCATTCTCCTCTCCCCTGTTAGCAACGGCACCCCTAGCCGCGCTCCCCAAACCCTAATTTACACTCAAACCACCCCTAACTCAGATTTTTGTCGGGTGGTGGAAAGAAGGGAGTTCGATTTTGTTGGGGGTTAAGGAGAGGAGGCGATTTCGTGGGTGGAGCTAAGGAGAGGGTGATTTTGTGAATGGGGTTAGGGAGGGGCCGGTTTCGTGGTTGGGGTTGGGGTAGTCAATTCCAATTTGACATAAAGGTATGATTTTGCTAGGATTTAACCCCATTTTTCAGCATAAAAGTATGATTTTGCAAACAAAATAAAAATTGATTAAGTTATGTCTTTGCATAAAAAAAAAATTATAAGAAAGTTTCTTGTAAAAAAAAATCTTATAAAAGATGTTTTTTTGCAAAGTTCCCTTTAATTTTTGAAACTCCGTTTTATATGGTTATTTTGATACAATGTGAATTATGTTAGAGACAATAAAAATTTTAACTAAAATATATGAATGCTATAACAGCATTTGTTGTAGCATGAAAAGTTCGTACATACAGGTGCAATATCAATTTCAAGAACAATTAAATCAACTAGGCTCTTGTAGCTCAACGAAGACATTAGATAATCGGAGTGCTCTACAGAGCGGAACCTGAATAACTCAAAAGAACAGAGCCTTAAATTGTTAACATGTGTGCAAGATTGATTGTGTGATTTATTCCAGTACAGAGTGAGTATCGACTTACAAAAACTGATGTAGTATTACACTACTATTACTGTATTATATTTGTTAATTGTGAGGCAATGACATAACCCTCTATATTTATACTTCCTCTACTATTGAGTATTGAGTGGTAGTAGTTGAAATATAGTGCGGACTTTTTGACAAAATTTTCCTATCTTCCCGAGAATTTTTGACGAAAAAATGTTACTAATCAATACATTAAACAAACAATTATGTGCATGACTAGCATTTTGCAAGTCTTCGTAAACTTGGTTTTTAAGTACAAGTGCCTCCACCCAGCTCCATACCATACCAATTCAACAACTACTTCCTCCATAAATCCTTTTTCTCTCTCTAGTAATGAAATGAAAATCCCCATTAATTTCATTTCTTTGTTAATATTTGTATGGTTGCTATGCATTTGTTGCCTCCGTACATATTGTGTTTCTAGCCAGTGTCATGATGATGAGAAGTCTCTACTTCTTGAGCTTAAAAACAATCTCACGTTCACCCCGGACGCTTCTGGCAAGCTAAGGGACTGGAATGAAAGCATAGACTGCTGCCAGTGGAATCACGTTGAATCCGACAACTCAACTGGCCGAGTCATTGGCCTGGAATTGTATTACCTCAATATAACCGGTGGCATAAACAATTCCAGTAGCATATTCCATCTACAGTACCTCCAAACTCTAGATTTGGGGTACAACTATATCCAAGGAAGCATACCTACATCAATATTTACAATGCCATCTCTCCAAGAAATATTTTTAGATGGTAACAAATTCAGCGGGCAACTAAACGAGTTTGTGGCAACTTCATCTATGCTGCAAAATGTTTATTTGAGCCAGGGGCGGAGCTAGAAGGGGACGAGTGGGGACACTTGTCCCCCCATTTTCAAAAAAAAAATTAAAAATTTTTTTTTAAAAAAAAACAAAAAAACGCAATTACAGAGTGCTCTGTGCGACATTTGCAGCCAAACCCTAAGTCTTTCAATTTTTAATTTCTCTCTCTTCGATTCGCCCTCACCTCGCCAGAGTCGCCTGACGCTGTCCACCGTTCTCCGGCAGTTCGCAGCAGTGAGGCCAATGACGAGGTTCGACAGACGACAGCGCACAGCGGACAACCTTCAATTCGTGTGAATCGTGTCTTCGTGAGTTCGTGTTTGCTGTTTGCAGCAGCAGCCCAGCAGCCCAGCACCGCGCCACCGCAGCACAGCCAGCAGTTTGGACGTTTGGTGTTCAAGTGTAAAGTGTTTGCAGCAGCAGTTCGCAAGTCGGCAACTTCGCATTTACAGATTTACTGTAAGGAGTAAATCTGAATTTCAATGGAGGTATGATTAATTGATTATGTAATTATGTAAATCTGAATTAAGTGAATTTCATTACTTGTTTAAATGTTTAATTGTTTTATAATTTATATTTTTATTGTGAATTTGTCATTTGTGGCCTTGTGGGTATTGATTATTGATTTATATTTGTTTGATTGTTTGAATGTTTCCCCTGTTTGAGTGTTTGGCTGTTTTTGTGAAATGTGAATTTAAATTATTAATTATTGTAAATTATTGAAATGTGTAGTTGAATTAGAAATTTAAAATCTTAGGTTTTGTTATTATGTAATGATGTGAATTGTGGTCTTGTGGAAATTGATATATAATTTTCAATTTAACTAGGAAATATCAAAAGATTCACCAAATTCAAACAAATCCAAGGCAACTAAACAACCCGATCTTCGACAATTCTTGTTTAAAAGAACGAGACTCAATGAAAATGAGTCCAATAACTCACCTTCAGTTAGCTCCCCTCAAAGTCAAGAAAATAGTATGGAAATGGGTGGTTCAAGTAATAGTAATGTACCATTAGAGGAAGATTTGGTGTATGATGTTGAACTTCTTCCTCATGATCCGGGAAAAAGAATAAACATTATGGATTACCCCGCAAATGAACGAAATGCTGTTAGGAGGGGTTATATTCTTAAAAAAACCTTGCCAACCAAAAGACTAATTGATTTGCATCTTCAAGAACTTGATGAACGACTTAATGAGAGGAATATGGAGTTACTATTATGTATGGCTTGTTTAAGTCCTAAAGATAACTTCTCATCCTTTGATAAAGATAAGGTACTTAAACTTGCCTCTTTTTATCCCGAAGAATTTTCAAGCTTTGATTTGATGGCTCTTGAATATCAACTTGATGTATTCATGGAGAATATGCTAAATGATGAAAGATTTCAAGGTTTAAATGACCTTAATTCTCTTTCTATGATGCTTGTTAAAACCAATAAGCATAAGACTTTTCCTCTTATTCATTTGCTTATCAAGTTGATGTTGATTCTTCCCGTTGCCACGGCAAGTGTTGAAAGAGTGTTTTCTGCAATGACATGTGTCAAAAACAAGTTGCGAAATAGCATGGGTGATCAACTTATGAATGATTGTTTGGTCACTTTTATTGAGAAGGATGTCTTCTTACGAGTTTCCGACGAAAAGATTATTGATCGATTTCAAAGTATGAAGACTCGAAGAATGAACTTGTAATTTTAATGTAATGTTTATGTAGTTTTTTTCATCATTTTGAATTGTATGACTAAGTATATATTTGTATTTTGAAATTTTAATATTAAGTATTAACCAATTTGTGTGTGAGTTTTTTTTTTTGTTTTTATTTTTTGTTAAGCTTTTCGTAAGTTAAGCATTTTGTCCCCCCAAGTTGAAAATCCTGGCTCCGCCACTGATTTGAGCAACAATAGCTTGGAAGGCCCAATCCCAAAGTCAATTTTCCAACTGAAAAACCTGAAATTGTCATTCAACAAGTTCAATGGCACAATCAAACTTGTTGAGTTTCTACAGAGCTACAAGTTACTTCAAGATCTTCATCTTGGACACAATTACTTGTCCGTTGATACAGATGGTTGTGGCGTAAACTCCTCTTTTGCCCAGCTACAAGACCTTGTCCTGGTTAATTGCAACTTGCACTCCGTACCAGAATTTTTAAAAAATCAAACATCAATGTCTGGCCTTGATCTTTCAATGAATAAGATCTCCGGTAAAGTGCCCAAGTGGATTTGGGGCGTTTTTCTCACATCAAGTACCAAACGTGTACTCTTGGACCTTTCTAGCAACAGCTTTGTGGAATTAGAAATAGATCCATATCTTAACTTCTCATACTTTGGCCGTTTACAGGTAACTCTAGACCTCCATTCCAACAATTTTCATGGAAAATTTCCAATTGTCCCATACATTCTAGACAATTTAGATTGTTCCAGCAATCATTTCACTTCCATTGACCCTGACTTTGGCCCAAATCTAATCATAGCTTACTTCTTGTCTTTTTCCAATAACAACCTACGTGGGAGCTTCCCTGCAGCACTACAGTATGCCCTAAATCTATGTCATCTTAATCTAGAGTTCAACCATCTGAATGGGAATATTCCAGATTATTTTATCAACATGTCCCTTCTCAATGTAGTTAATTTGAGAGGAAACAATCTAAAAGGTTCCATCCCTGCTATATTTGGAAATCAATACTGCTACTTAGAAACACTGGACTTGAATGGGAATTTTCTTCAAGGACGTGTTCCTCGATCACTTGCCAATTGCAAAGCATTATAAGTGTTATACCTCGGAAATGACACCTTCCCTTGTCACTTGAAAAGCCTGCCCAAATTGCAAGTACTCATCCTCAGATCCAACAAATTCTATGGAACTTTGGTTTGCCCACAGATTCGCTCAATTTGGCCCATGCTTCAAATTGTGGACCTTGCTTCCAATCATTTTTCCGGTGAACTAAATGCCCAATATTTTTTCAACTAGACATCAATGATGGTAGGAACAGGTAAAGAGGAACCAAAACCACGCTATGTAATAAGTGAGGAGTATGAAGCAACACACTATCAAAACTAAGTGACAGTCACATTCAAAGGTAACACGTATGAGCTACAATACATCTTAACAGTCTTCAGCATTATTGACTTCTCCAATAATTTCTTCCATGGGGAGCTACCAAAAGAGTTGGGAAATCTAAATGGTCTAATAGTACTCAACCTATCACACAACTCTTTCTCGGGCAAGATTCCTTTATCATTCGGTAATCTGAGCCAAATTCAATCTCTAGATCTTTCTTGCAACGCCTTAAGTGATAAAATACCTCCACAACTTGCAAACCTGAATTTCCTCGAGTATTTGAACTTATCTTTCAATAAGTTGTCGGGAAGGATCCCAACAAGCACTCAGCTTCAGTCATTCAACGCATCTTCATACCAAGGCAACCAAGGATTGTATGGCCCACCATTAACACCAATTCCTAGAATTCAAGTTAATTCAGATTCGAGTTCACAAGATTCAGATTGGATCTCAAAGAGCACATTTGAGTGGATGTTAATGGGAGCTGAAGTTGGGTTCCCTGTGGGAATCACCGTCATTTTAGGGCCTCTTCTTTATATCAAGAGATATAGAGAATGGTATTGCAACTTTCTTCATATACTGGTGATGAAAATTCTGCGTAAGGAAGGTCATGCAAGGAGAAGGAGGAGGGCAAGGCAACACAACAGGGACCAAAGGCAGAGACGCTAGAGCAAGATTGTCAATGCAATAAAAAAAAAGTGGGATTTCGCAGGTGTTTAGTAATTTGCATTTTGTACTGTTCAATTAAATGCTTTTCAATTTGTGTATATGGTTGAAACAATGAAACTCCAGTAAAGTTATGTACTCTGGATGTTATAATTGTTGCTTGATCTTTGATGTTTGAGTAATGAATGATGTTATACATTAAATTTTGAGTTTTGCATGGAATCTAAAAGCTGTGTATGAGGTTATAATTTAAAGCCTTGTTCCATGTTAGCATTGAAATGTTCTTCCATAATAAGCCTTGTAACCGTGTAATGTAATCAATTTCACGAACAATTCAACCTAATAGACACTAATAATAGAATTATAGTTTAACGGAAACATTAAACAATCAGAGAAACATGAATAACTAAATGCTCTTTAAACATGAATAATAAGGGTTTGCAAGTGTACCAGCATGAAGATATGCATATCCCAGCTTATTGCCAATACTGGGAATCATATGATCAGGCTGCTGAAGCTTCAGCTATGGATGTGAATTGAGTCCTAGTTGATTTTGGGGAATGAAACAAGCCGGCAGCTGGATACATTGTGGCTCGAGATAAAAACAAAAAAAGCAAGATTTAATAAGCTTTGCGAGAGGAAAATTATCTGTAACAGAAGAACACTAAAATTAAGATTTGCAGCAGCTGTTAGTACAAGCACTACAAGGTATGAATCTATTAAACTTAAGATTTTATACATTTGTATTTTGTAAGACACAACACAATTTGTCATATGATATATCCTGGGAATTATATTATCATTGAGCATAAACGTTGTATAAGTAACATTAAGTTGAAGATTTCACCAGTCTAAGTTCTAAGTTAAATGTAAGATGAATTTTAGACAGTACTTAGCTCAGCAATGTTTGCTTTGCTCTGTTGACATCAAGTCATTGACATTTAAGCTCTGTTGACAAATTATATCAAACCCTGCAAAAGTTGCCATTTAAGCTTGTACACAAAAGACCAAATCACAAACAAAGATAACTAATTATCCATTTCATAGCCAGAAACTATTCAAGGACACAAATAACCAAGTCTCAACCATAATTGTTTGCACCATACAGGAGCACAAATCAACAAACAACAAAATAATGTAACTGGTCCTTAAAACGACATGCAAACATTACTACTAGAGAGAACCCAAAGGATCTTAGTACTCGCCCTCATCATCACCATCGTCATCTTCGGCACCCTCAGCACCAACCTCTTCATAATCCTTCTCAAGAGCAGCAAGGTCCTCACGAGCCTCGGAGAACTCACCTTCCTCCATACCCTCACCAACGTACCAGTGGACGAAAGCCCTCTTGGCATACATGAGATCAAACTTGTGGTCAATTCTGGAGAAGACCTCAGCAACACTGGTGGAGTTGGAGATCATGCACACAGCTCTCTGGACCTTGGCAAGATCACCGCCAGGAACAACGCTGGGTGGCTGGTAGTTGATACCACACTTGAAACCAGTTGGGCACCAGTCAACAAACTGGATGGTACGCTTGGTCTTGATGGTGGCAACAGCAGCATTGACGTCCTTGGGAACCACATCTCCACGGTACATCAGACAACAAGCCATGTACTTTCCGTGACGTGGGTCACACTTGGCCATCATGGATGATGGCTCAAAGGCACTGGTGGTGATCTCAGCAACAGAGAGTTGCTCATGGTAAGCCTTCTCAGCAGAGATAACAGGAGCGTAGGAGGAAAGCATAAAGTGGATTCTGGGGTATGGAACAAGATTGGTCTGGAACTCATTCACATCCACGTTCAAGGCACCATCAAACCTCAAAGAGGCAGTAAGGGATGAGATAACCTGAGGGTGACAAAAACAGAATGTAAGTTAACCAAAGGTATAACCTATTCTATTAATGTGTGCCGGTAATTAACTGACCAGCAACAATTACCTGAGAAATCAGACGATTAAGGTTGGTGTAAGTGGGTCGCTCAATGTCAAGGGAACGCCTGCAGATGTCGTAGATGGCCTCATTGTCAAGGAGAACAGCAACATCAGTGTGCTCCAAAAGAGAGTGAGTTGAGAGGACACTGTTGTAGGGCTCAACGACAGAGGTTGAGATTTGGGGAGAGGGATAGATGGTGAAACCCAACTTGGACTTCTTTCCATAATCAACAGAAAGACGCTCCAAGAGGAGGGATCCAAGACCAGAACCAGTTCCTCCACCAACAGCATTGAAAACAAGGAAACCTTGGAGCCCTGTACAGTTATCAGCAAGCTTGCGGATACGGTCCAAGCAGAGGTCGACAATCTCCTTACCAACTGCAATTAAACAAACAGTAAGGATACAAGCCCGCATAATCTAACATCACGTCAAATACAAAGCACATCTTCGACACTTACTGGTGTAATGACCACGGGCAAAGTTGTTGGCAGCATCCTCCTTTCCGCTGATAAGCTGCTCAGGGTGGAATAGCTGGCGGTAAGTTCCGGTCCTCACTTCATCAATGACAGTGGGCTCAAGATCAACAAACACAGCACGGGGGACATGCTTTCCAGCACCAGTTTCACTGAAAAAGGTGTTGAAGGCATCATCTCCTCCTCCAACAGTTACATCACTTGGCATTTGGCCATCAGCCTATCAACACAAAATGGCAAAGATATTAGCATCATCATACAACTTAAGACATCTCAGTGTCTATAAGAGAATCACATTATTTTTGCGCAAAAACATCCAACAATCAATGTATCAAATATAGCAAGTATCAAATATAAATCAGTAAGATTACAAACATGTCTAGAAACATTGCATTCTAAGATTCCATCTGATTTAACAGTTAAAATCATACAGATTACAAAATCAGGAATCACATGGAAGCTTGAGGCCAGTACATCCTAATATTTTACATCTTATTTGTGAATACAGTGGATAAAATCAGAATTACTCGTTCATATATAACCATTATTATGATTAATCATACACAATAATTAATCGTCATTTATATTAACCTTACTATTATCATAATTTCATTTCGGAATAATCATCAAACATCTTATTTGCACATACATTGCTTGAACGAGATTAATCAATTACACAAAAACTTATTATCAACACTATACAAAAAAATTGACCATCAATAGTCTCAAACAAGGTTTTATCATTTTTCTATTTGCTCAAATGGATCAATATACAAATACAGATTAATATTTGATGAGTTCACCAGAAATACTCAACTCTATACCCAACATAATTAGATCTAGACAAACTCAATCAAACTTCAATCATCAGAACACAACATATTAATACAAGCAAATGCCTCAGATCTAAACTGTTTTCGTACACCAAACATCCTAAATCAACTCTCAAATATCAAACAAACTGCAAATCATTTCAAATTCAAATAAATTCAACGTTTAACAACAAATCGCATATCAATCCAAAACAGACAGCGAATCATTTCAAATTCAAATATATTATCATTTAACAACAAATCGGTTATAGACTAAACGAAAAATAAACTGTAAATCATTCCAAATTCAAATAAGTTCCTCACTTAACAACAAATCGCTTTTAGAACAAACAAAAACAACAGATCTGGCATAAAACAGGATAGATCTAAAAATTAACCTAAAATGCAGCACCAAAAATTCCATTCAACAACCTCAAAGCAACTTAAACATCAAATTTCTTAAAAAACAACATGAAATCAACAAAAACTCAAACAAAAAACGATAGATCTAGAAAGAGAAATCGAAATATACCTGAATACCGTGCTCAAGACAGTAAAGCTCCCAGCAAGCATTTCCGACCTGGATACCAGCCTGACCGATGTGGATTGAAATGCACTCCCTCATTTTCGCTAAAAAATTCTAGATCTAAACCGAAGAAAACTGTGGAAATAGGAGAGAGAAAGAGCAAAAATGGAGATGAAAATCGAAGGCGTTTATGAAGACGCCTTCTTTGAGAGAAAAAGAGGAGAGAGAAAGTAGCGAAGAAGAAGGAGAAGTTTTGAGAATGAGGGAAGAAAGGGGTGGGAGTGGTGGTTCTTATACTGCAGGAAGGTGAGAAGTTAATGAAAATTGAAAAAAAAAATTGAGGGTTTTCTTTTTTTAACTATGGTTGACAGATATGTGAGGGGGTGATTTAACCATGGTTTAAGTTGTTGGCCTTGCTTTGCGGTGAAGTGAGCTGTTAATTTTAAATTTTGAAAATGGATTGATTTAATTATTGGTGGATTGTCTTGTTCTTGTGGTTTATGGACTCAAAGAGTCAAAGGTGGGATTTATAATTGGAGCAGTGGACTGGTGCCCTAGTGTAGTGGTACTACCGTAGTAACAATTTTTTTTTTTGTTTTTTACCAAGAAGGAAAAAAAAAAAAAAACAGTCTAATTACACGTACTACTACGTAATTCTATCTAGTCTTGTGGTTTGATCAATAAATAAATAGTTTAGAGCACTCTCACTCATGGGCATATTTTTGCCCATGAGGAGAATTATGTGAAAAAAAAATGAGTATTATAGCTCCACACTCATGGGCAATAAAAAATATGACTATAAGGAATTTGGCAAATGCCCATGGCTATGGCTAATGGAAAAAGCTACAATGAAGGTGGGCCCCATATTTAATTAAAAAAAAAACTTGAAAATGTAAAAAGGAGTCGTTGCATGGCTCACCAGACGGGGACCGTCAGAGCGACCAATCATTTGCAGCCACGTGTCCCTGTCAGTCACCAAGGTTGACAACTTATGGTTAACATTCATAATTATATAAATAATTAGATGATGATGATAATGGGTAGGAGAGAGAAAGAGTAGGAGAGAAAGTGGTGTGGGGTTTTATTTTAGCTTATGAGTGTGTACGAAGTTATAAAAATAAAATGCCCATGTGAAAAAGAGGAGTGAGAAAGTAGGTAGAGAGATAATGGCATTTTTTTTTCACCCATGAATGAGAGTGGTCTTACACCAAATTGGAACTTAAGGCCTTGTTTGGCATTGCTTTCTGTTTTCGGTTTTCAGATTTTTTGAAAACAAAAAAACCAAAATAGAAAATAAGATAAAGATGTTTTCACTTTTATGTTGTCAATTTACAAAATTGTCTTGATTTTAACAAGTTTGAAAAAAAAAATTTATTCATTATATGACATATCATACGATTTTAAAAACCAGAAATAGAAAACTATAGTGATGCCAAACGAACCTTAAATTTTCAGTTATAAAGTATAAAACATAATTTTGAGCCTAACTCTATAAACTGATGGTTGATGGTTAAGGCCCAAGATTATACTCTATCACCGGTTGTTAAAGGTTGGTCTCGAGATCAGGTACATATTCGTGGTTGCTATAACAAAAATAAACATTTTCTAATAAACATATTTTACAATAATTTTGTATTTCTCAATAATTTAATTTCATGCAACATGATGTTCATTCTTATAAAATAAATGTTCATTTTCATTTAGTATAATGTGCGTATAAATAAACATTGACTTTGTTAGGAGAAGGATTTGCCAAGAAAGGAGTAATATACACTACAAGGTACTAAACTTTGCAATTTGTATCACTTAAGGTACTGAACTTACAAATGTATCAATTAGAGTACTATGACCATCAGAGCATGTTATCTTTCCGGTTTCAACCTGTTACTCCAAGTTACTTCGAATTTAAGTGTTTGAAAAAAAAAATCTGTCAGCAAAACGCCTCGAGAATACAAAAGGTTATCATTAGCTTCGTTTGGCACGCAAACTCAAAAGGCAAGTGCCTTTCCACCACTCATTTCTTCCTATATAAAGAATCTGAAAGAAGGTAAAAAGATCATTTTCATCTTATTTCACATAGACCCTAAACAAAGAGGAATATTCATTCGTGTGTGTTCATTAATGTGGCCTGGTGATTCAGAGTGTAACTCCTGCAAGTATGCAAAGCTTTACTCAGAAGAAGGTATATTCCTTAACTATGTTGTTTTGTGTTAAATTCTGATAGTGATAGTTGTTTATTTCTCTGTTTTGGTATTTTGTCGTGTATAAAAATTTGAATTATGAGTTTTTTTTTTTCCTCAAATTTGTTCATGATTTTGTGTTGTTAATGTGTAAAGACCATGAAAAACATAGTTGATCATATAAATTTTTGTTACTGGGTTGAGAACCTGCAATTTAGGTTAGGGTTTTGATGTAATGGGTGTGTGGGTAAAACAGGGGTTAACACTTGAACTAGCTAGAAATTGATATGTACCTTGATTTGGCCTTAGATATGGACGCTCTTGGGCACGCTCACTCTATCTTCAGCCAACAGGACCTCCTCGTAACCCATAGAAGACGAAGTCAACGTCCAACTGGTGTGCAAGAAGTGGAGAATTTGGTGGTGCCTCCGTCACTTGGCTCTCCGTCTCCCCTTCTATGGCCCACATGATGTAACGGCTACTTAATTTTTGAAAACTTGCCAAAGTTCAGTACCTTCATTAAATTTTGTCAGAATATTAAGCTTTCCTTTTTTTTCTATGCTTAAACCGATTGATGTAGGTTCAAAGTTTAGTAACTTGCCTGAGAGTACCTTGCCAGATACAATTAGAAGTTGAGTAAATTGCCAGATACAAATTGCTGTAGGTTCAAAGAAAGCTTTGGTCACGTCACACCAAGAATAGGGTCTTTAGGTGTCAGGTTCACATAAAGTCACCACGTCGACGACGATGACCACCGAGTTCCGCCTATCAATGGCAAAGTTCTGGAGTTGACTACTTGTGATATGGCGGAGGATGGACTCGTAGTTCTGGCGCCATTTTGGGATGAATTTGAAGGTTTGGGAAGAGAAAATGGTAGTGGATTTGGAGGAAGATGATGACAAGAAAAAAAATTTAGTGAGGTTTTTTCATATTTAATATAACGGATTGTATGGGTTTTGTTGGGTTTATTGTGTTGGGGAATGGAAAAGTGGGAATACTTTAATATATTGAGTGACATAATCAGTCAATTAGAGTCAGTATAATTATGAACTTATATTGCTAAAATTGTGAACATTAATATTATAAGAATGAATATCTGATTGTGTAAAAATGAACATTTAATTTTGTAAGATTAAATATCTTATAACAAGAAAATATTCATTTTTATTATATTAAATTGTGAACATTAATATTATAAGAATGAACATCTGATAGTATGAAAATGAAAATTAATATTATAAGAATGAACACCTGATAGTATGAAAATGAACATTTAATTTTGTAAGAATATATATCCTGTAGGAAGAAAATGTTCATTTTTATTACATTAAAAGTTCATTTTCAAAATAAGGGCTAGACTCGGACTAGCTAAAAATTTGCGGGATGGATGAGATTCGAACTCGTGATCTATATGTCACATTGGTTCTAATACCATGTTAATGGACCATCTCAACCAAATGGCTAAGCCGATGGTTGAGGCCCAGGATTATGTTTTATACTCTATCGACTTTAGGCCTATTTTCATTTTTTTTTTAATTTATGTAGTCAATTCTTTATAAGAAAATGTACTACGTATGATTAAACACAAACGAGTTTAAGGAGTAATTAATTACATTTGGATACACTTAAAGAACTGCGGATATATCCTTTCTGTTTTCGTTCTATCTGCCCTGAATGTCGTTTACTCTGGTTGAGCCAACCATCTATGGTGTAATTTTTTGTAAAAAAAAATGGTGTAATTGGTGATAGCTTCATGATATTCGACAATTATATTTCCTTTGATATTGTGTTATTTGTAAATTTAACAGTAGTATACATTTCTTCAAGCCACGGGCTTATTCTGAATGACTGAATTGAGCTGAACTGAATTAAATATTTTACAAGAGAAGGAAATTAAGAAATGAACTTATCTTAACTTATAGGAGCTGAACTGGATTGAACTATATCATTTTTCAAATATTGTTGAATTGTACGTACTTAACATATCAACTTTTTATAACTTTTACATATTAATAATTAAATATATTATTAGTTAAAGTTGTGCATTGATAAGTACGAACAGAGGCGGACCTAGGAAGGCACAAGGGGTTGCAAAAAAAAAAGGGTGATCAAAGAGCCCTGTTATTATAAATAGGCGATCTCTTTGATTTAAACATAGCAAATTCACTATACTCCATAGTCCATACAAAAGCTTGTGCTTTTTGTTTCAAAAAAAATAGACCTGTTGTGTACACAACCGGTCTCTTAGGTTCTCTTGATTTTGTTGCTTCTTTAACTAGAAAATACCTGTTGTGTACACAACAGGTCTCTTAAAGTTTTTTTTTTTTTTTTTCCTATTTTCCTTTTGCTTCTACTTTATGTGCATAATTATATTAATCATGCATTCAACTTTTAATGATATAAATCATTTTTTTTAACCTTGAATGAGCAATTTATTATTTAAAAAAAAACTCCTTCATCTGATGAAATTTTTACTATTCTACTGCACGTACTTAAATTCAATACATATATATATGTGAGTAACGCAATAAAGAAAATTTATAATATAAGTAAATATTACTGTATACAAAGTATTAATTTTTAAACTTGTGAATGATAGATACGTATTACATAGAAAGATAATATTTTCAACATATAAAGTACTTTAAAAGTTGATCATTGAATTATATTGATAACTACTCGTATATACAAATTATTTCATATTTGTAAAATAATAATTTATATACTAAATTAAATGTTTAAAATATAAAGACCGTATATAATAACTCATTCTAACCATTTTTTTTTCTTCTTATTATTCAATGACTCAACGCTACCCCTAGTTAGAAATCCTGGATCCGCCACTTAGTATGAAATATTAGATTGAAGTAGGGCACTTCAATAAAACAAAGGGAGTACAATATCATTTTTCATCTAAATTTATATCACGAATTCATTCCTCCATACAATTTTTATTTTTATTTTTTTAACTGCAGTAATCACTAACAGGTTTAGTGTCACCAAGAATGCTTTGTCCCTCTGTAGCTAGGTGTTCTTTTATTTTCGGTAGCTGCTAGTTTCTTTTGCTTTCTTTGTTTTCTTTGAGTTGTATTTCTTCTCTTTGGACCTGTTCCTCATTTGAATATATATATATATATATATATATATATATATATATATATATATATATATATATATATATATATATATATATATATATATATATATATATATATATATATATATATATATATAAAAGAATGCTTCAACCTCAAGTCTCCAATTGAGAAAGTGAAGTCCACAAAGATACCAAATTCATCTCATCCTCACTTCTACCATGTGACTCCCTCCCTCTATCAATCTTTCACAGTGAATAAAGAACATTACGAGAAGTGCCATATAACACTATGGGCTGGGCCGTGCCAACAAACTAGTAGCTTAATGAGTTTTAACGTCCAAGTTCAGCCTGACCTCAGGCAAAAGATGACCAAAAATAAACATGGAAATATCAAATATGACACTGTTACATTTAACATCTATGAAGTACAAAGTTTATCTTTCGTACCACTATAATTATCTCATATGCAAATTATTACTGCTACGTTAATAGTTGGGCAAAGTTAACAAGAGAGTAAATTAGTACGGAGTAGGACTTAAGTTGTACAAAGTATTTACTCTCTTCTCTCTCTTGTGTTATTTATGGTATGAGACAAACTCAATGGAACACTCAATAGAGGAAATAATACAATTGCGGAGGATGACATAAATAATAGATTGATAAGGATAATCCACTACTCCGTATATACCATGTTATGAGCAGTTTTGTATATAGGAGACTAGGAGTTAGGACATTGGACAGATCACTTGCCATACTATTCTAGAATCTAGATATACAATTCTCAAAGAGAAGAGAACTAGACAAATTTTACAAATAATAGGATACAGACTAGAGCTCTACATGCTAACTAAGAAAACAATATATAGGAGGATCATTTTGTATCTACTGTCAATGTGACTTGATCCTTGAGCATATCAACAACTCTTCTCATGGTTGGCCTGTTCGCAGGGGAAGCTGATGTACAAAGGATCGCGATTTCAATCACCTTCTTTATCTGTTTATAGTTACATGTATCTGGATACATTCTTGGATCTATCAGCTGCTTTGCTTGATCAAACTCGTGAGATTGTAACACTACTTCTGTCATCCATTTCACTATGTCCATGTTCTCCCCAAAGGATGCATCATTTGGTCTCTTCCCTGTTACTAGCTCTATTAGCACCACCCCAAAACTGTATACATCGCTCTTCTCTGTCACCTTGAGCGTGTAGCCATATTCTGCCATCCACAATCAAAGGCGAATTCAATCTTAATTTATGTTTTTAAACTCATACTCGTAGAATAAATCAAATAATTAATGGAAAGAATAGCCATTAGATTCTTAGCAGAGTAAATCGACAAATCGAGTATTTGTTCACATGTCATGTCAAATTGTCAAGCATTCAAGCAAAAGAAGACAATATGTATATAGCAAATTAAATCAAGAGAAAAGCAGTAGTGGTCCGCCAATAAATTGACAATCTTTAAACAAAGTTCAATTTTAGTACATTTTTTATCAGCTTACAGTTATTAGCAAGCTGTCTCATGACCCAAAGACAAAGACAACTTGAAAATTATCACAAAAATGTATGCATCAAACTCACTTGATAGATTAATCATACGAATTTTGAGGGACCCCATGTTCATCAATTATCAAAGCAATCCAAAATCATATTAAATTCTGGTCTAACCCCACCATATATTTCATAAATTAGTCATGGCAGCATAGTAGAAATACATACCATAGTGCATTAAAGCAGTAGTTAAACTTACCAGGTGCAATGTAGCCATAAGAGCCAGCTATCCGCGACATGGCCTCAGCGCTCTCTCCATCCTCCATGCCTCTAGGCTTTATCATTGGCTTAGCAAGTCCGAAATCAGCAATCCTTGGCAGGAACTTGTCATCAAGCAATATGTTGTTGGACTTTACATCACGGTGGATGATAGCCGGGACACAATCATGGTGCAAGTAGGCTAACCCTTGAGCCGCACCCAAAGCTATTGCAAATCGTCGAGACCAATCTAAGATCTCACCACCCTTTTCTCCATGCAAAACATCTCCTAGACTCCCATTTTCCATATACTCATACCCTAAAGCCCTAAAACCCTCTCCTATACAACTGAACAACAATTTTACAATATTCCCATGACGTACACTCCCTAAGGTCTCAACCTCAGACTTGAACAATAAACCCATATCCATGTTCTTGTCCTCACCACCCCATAACTTCTTAACTGCTATAACATGACCCGAGTTGAGTGTAACCCTATATACCCGACCTGACCCACCAGACCCAATCACATTCTCTTCCGTAAGGCGAGAGAATATTTCTTGCTCACTAAACCCACCCCTTTGAAAGGAAACCATTTTAAATGGATGTCTCCTTTTCTTAAACTCACCATCTGTTTGGACCTTGGTAATGCAAAGCAAGGAAATAGAGGACATGAGAACAAAACCTAAAACCGATAAGAAAGATACCAAGAATGACACGGGTATAGGTTTAGGACACGATGGAAATGATTTAAGATTCGAGCTACATAGTCTCGGGTTACCCGACAAACCATCAACACAATACTTATTATTAAAACCCGGAGGGACTTGTCCCTCTAGTTGATTATTCGAAAGATTGAACTCATTGAGCTTGAGTTTAGTCAACTCCTCCGGAATCTCACCGGAAAATAAATTATCCGACAAGTCGAGATAATTTAACACCGGTAACTCACCAAGTTGACTCGGAATCTCCCCGGAAAACCTATTCCTCGATACGTTCAAATCTGTCAATTGAACCCACGAACTCACATTCATCGGAAACTCCCCGGAAAACATATTCCCCTGCAATTCTAACTTCTGCAATCCTTTCAATTCCGTTATACAACTTGGCAACTCTCCAGTAAACCGATTTTCACCCAAATAAAGCTCAATTAATTTCTTCAATCCACAAATTTCCGAAGGTAAATTTCCCGAGAAATTATTGCCGGAAATTAAAAGTCTTGATAAATTAAACGAATTTGAGATAATAGGAGGCAGAGTACCTTCAAAATGATTATCCTGAAGATCAGCAGTATCAAGATGAGGTAAATTCCAGAAGTTTTGAGGAAATTCGCCGGAAAAATTGCTGTTGCTAATTCTTACATAACTTAATGAACTGCAATTTCCATAAATTTCAGGAAATTTACTGGAAAATCTGTTGTTGAAGGTAATAATCTGCCAGAGTTGCTTCCCACTGCAAAGAGTCGTCGGAAATTCACCGGAAAAATTGTTTGTCGACACATCAAACTCGTTCAATATTGATTTTGATCCCAAATTCGCCGGAAGTTCGCCGGAAAAGCTGTTGTTGAAAAGCTTTAACTGATAGAGGTTCTTATTTTCCGCTAAAATGGCCGGAATATTCCCTCGTAAAAGATTATCATTTAAATTCAGCGACCCTAGTTGTAAAGCGGCGAGACTTTCCGGCAACATTCCGGTGAGATTATTCTGAGATGCATCGAAAAGATATAAGTTCTTCAATTTTCCCAAATTTTCCGGCAACTCGCCGGAAAATTTGTTATCGAAAAGCTCTAATTCCCAGAGATTCGTTAGGTTTCCGATACATTTCGGAATCTCACCAGAAAGAGAATTTGTTGCGACATCGAAGCTTTTCAATGATTGTAAAGTACAGAGAGATTCCGGAATCTTTCCGGTGAGATTCGATTCGGTTAACCAAACAACCTCGAGTATCGATAACTTTTCAATGGTGGTCGGTATCTCAGAAGGATCAAATAGATTGTAACCGAGTTCATAGTGAGTTAACCGAGTTAAATTGGTGATGAACTCGGGAAAAGCAGGGCCAGTTAGGTAGTTACTGAAGAGGCGTAAAACTGTTACGGAGGATAAGTACCGGAAACTCCGGGGAATTTTACCGGAAAAGTTGTTGGAAGAGAAGTCTAAGGAAAACAGAGAGGTGAACTCCGGCGAGAAATCCGGGAGGTTTCCGGAGAATTCGTTGCTGGAGAGGTTGAGGGAGTGGAGGTGGGAGCAGTGGGAGAGGGAGAGAGAGGTGATGTTGTTAAAGAAGTTGTTGGAGATGGAGAGGTTGCGGAGGGTGGGAATGCGGCAGAAGCCGGAAGGGAAGGGGCCGGAGAGGTCGAGGTTGTCGAGGTTGACCGCGACAACGGAGGAGAGGGGGTTACAGGTAATGCCAGTCCAGTGGCAATGTGAGTGGTTATTTGTGTTATTGGAGTGATCATCGTGGATTAGCCAATTCGAGAGGCGGTTGTTAGGGTCGAGTATTTGGTTGATTTTAACGCGGAGGAGGATGGTGGAGTCGGAAATGGGCGAGGCCGAGGACGAAGAGGAGTAAAAGAGGAGGAGAATGGTTATTGGGAGGAGGAGATGGGAGAGTGTCATGGTGGTGGAGTGTGGTGGGATAGTGTGAGAAGCAAGTGGGGGGGGGGGAGTGTGGGAAGTTAGAGTTTATAGGGAGTGAGATTGTGGTGTGGAATAAAAACGAGGCAAATCTATAAAAAGTAATGGGTGTTTGATATTTTTACCAATTGTGGTTCACGGAGAAAGAGGGAGGGAGGTTAGTAACTTGCAAGTTTGGAAAGAAATCCTTAATAATGAGCTTTAATAATGAGCTTTTTTGGAGGTTTTTGAGATGGGTTGTGTAAAATGTGAGTGTAGTGTGTGAACGAAGGCATAATTAGTGTCGTTTGCTTCTTTAAGATGCGAGGGATGAACGTGATTTGTGCTTCTTCCTCCTCCCTACCCTCTCCTACGTTTCTTTTGAGCTGTATAGTGATTAGTGATCCTTTTTTCTGTTTTTACGACAGAGAATGTGCAGTAGGATTAATGAATTATTTGGCCAAGAAGTATGTTAGATTGTTAGTAATTAGTTTTACGGAGTTTATTTTTAATTAAATACTATTGGAGAAATAAAAAAAAATTATTTGGACCTTTAAATTTTGTGTGTTTTTCTTAAAAAAAATTTGTATGTTGAAGTAATGGGTAGTTTTAAATGCGTATTCGTAATGTGTTGGTTATAACTTTTACTTTATATAAATATTTTGTATTTATAACATGGTAAAACGATTGTCTTTATATGAGATTTTTGTCGATTTTGAACCGTAGTTATGTCAGTACTATATCTTAATAAGTTGACAGATCTTATATGTATGACACCTGAATTGAATTTGAGAAAACTATTTATAACCAATCGTTGTCTCCTAGGGTTTTAAACATTCTACTTAATGTCGAAAATACTAATGAGCAGATGTAAACCCTTATTACTCAGTAATATTTTTATAAATAATAATTATATGTAAGGGTCTGTTCATATTTACTGAACTGAACTGAACTGAACTGAACTAAGCTGGAATGAATATTTTATGAGAGAGGGAAATTAAGAGCTGAACTGAACTGAACTGAACTGATTGGAGCTGAACTGGATTGAACTAAACTGAACTGAAAATAAGTAAATATAAACAGACCCTAAATCATTATATGATTAAAATATGTTGTATTCTGTATATCATAGTAGTTGATTTATTGGTGAACCTTATATTTTGAAGGGTTATACAGCTAGTCCATAAGGGATTACTTAAAAATTTTAAACTCACACCTTACATTTTGAAGGGTTATGTAGTTAGTCCACAAGGAATTATCAGGAGTTTAAACTCCATCCATATATATTTTATATATTTTGAAGGGTTATACAGCTAGTCCATTAGGGATTACTTAAAAATTTTAAACTCGCATCTTACATTTTGAAGGGTTATGTAGTTAGTCCACAAGGAATTATCAAGAGTTTAAACTCCATCCATATATATTTTATATAGAGGAAATATAATTTAAGACGACAAAATATTCTAATTATATCATAAGAGTTGAGGTTGATCTTTCACCCACCTAAACCTCTTATCTCTAGTTTCAATACAACTCATTTAATTAGTGAATGTCTAGATGGACTATTTACAAAATATTTTGTTGACACATTTAGCAACCATTTTATGCCGTAAGAAAAATAGGAAGAAAGGTTTCATATATATAATAAATTAGAAAGATTTAATTACTTTCTTACTATATGAGTAGAATATACTAAGTATACTATAATGCATTATTGATAAGGTGCAATAAATTAGTTTTAAGGATTATTGAATCATCATACCCTAAAGATAAAGATTCGCTTTCCAGGATTAGGTCAAAATCTTCTTAGCTCGTGGATGTTCATATTTCATACACTTTTTGTATCTTTTTCGGTCATACAGGGGTAAAGATACATTAGGGCTCGAGTCCATGTCGTCAACCTGTCATGAATCAGGAGATTTATGCGTAAATCAGTTAAGAAATAAAATTATGTTAATTGCATTGAGGGAATAAGTGACGTTTATAGACACGTGTGTGTAACTATTTTACTTTTCCTCCAAATACGAAAAAAGTATATTATGAATGTTCTTTTATATTGTATTTCATATCAAAAATTATACAAAAGTAAAAAGTCTAGTTCTTGTATATATTTACCCCGGGTGTGATATAATTTTAGCTTCATCTCTACAACTTTAGATGTGATCAAGGTTAGCCCTGCCCGTTGGCCCGACCCGATTTTGGGCGAGTTTTGGACAGATTTTTCCGGCCCGAAAAATTAATTTCTTGGGCGGGTTTGGGAATACACTTTTATGCATATAAAGTTGAGTTTTTTTAGCCCGGCTCGAGAAGCGGCCCGCATAGCACGACCATTTTGGGCGCCTGACCTGGCCCGAGAAGTGGGCATACTTTTTTAGCTTATGCCCGGCCCGGCCCGCTCAATGATCACCTCTACAACTAAACTACTTCTCCATTACATCCTTCCATTATCAAAATTTGTTTATTACATCCCACCTAGGTATATCATATTCACACCCAAGTTTTTGGTATTATTTATAAATGTATTCATGTGCACTTTAAAAAAAATAAATTATATGACATATGTACAAAGACTAAAAACAATTGCATACCCTATATAAGATGCACCATTGCTATAACTTCAAATCTTGTATACTATAGGGTCTTATTAGGCTGATAAATTTATCTTATACTCCGTAAAATAAATTGAATCTAAAGAATAAATTATGATGGTGTCATACAATCTTATTTATGTGGCTATATATTAAAGGATAAGTGAGAAAAAGTGCTTATATGCATGTTTCATTGTTTGGCTGATACATACATAGTAGTTGATTAGTTGTTTACTTCTGATAAGAACTATATTACAATTTTACAAGTCCACAAAACTAAATTATTTTTCTAGTGATATTTATTTTTTCAATTAGATTTTTTTGAATGCATCCAAAAAGTGCTAAGGATAGATCTTTTTTAAGCAAATTCTTCCTAGTTTTCAGAACCAAACAAAAATAAAAAAGAGGCAAATAGAAAATCCAAAAAACCTTAGCATAAATGGTGAAAATTGCGTGGAAGGAAGGAGGAGAGAGAATAGTAAAAAACAAGGAGGAGGCGGAAGTCGATCTCGAATTCTCGAGCAAGTAGGATAACGTATAATATGGAATGTGTTTCTTACTTGTTCTTATAAATGATTAATGCAGCTGCTCCTTGTGATGCCAACAACAAACTACATGAGGGCAACGTTACTTGCGCACGGTGCACTAACTATGCATGACTTTTTTTAAAAAAAATTTTGTTGAGCCATGGAATCTTCAATTACTACTATGCTAGCCTGTTGAGCCTTTTGGTTTTGATGGACAAATTGACAAACTCGACTAATGAATGTTTTGAGTCTTTGGTGAATAAAGGATTCAAGCAAAGTTCGTTCCGGAGTAGGAACTTGGATGCGGAGTAGCATTCTCTAAAAAGCCTCGTGCAAATCTCACGTTCTAGTTTTAATTGTGAGCACTCAATATTATAAAGTCGGAAAGGAACTCAATGACTTATGTTAAAAAGACTACTGGAATAAAAGTTAGTTTTAAAAGATAATTTCTTAAAGAAAAGATAATTTGTAAAAGTTTTAATAAAGATAATTATCGAAGATAATTATCTAGTTGTTTTAATAAATAATAAATTTATCTTTTCAAATAAAATCTTTTTAAACAAACTTTTGATAATCTTTTTAAACAAATATTTGATAAGGATAGCAAGCGGTTTTTCTGTGTGAAAATCTTTATACGGCTAATGATTATCAAGTTGTTTAAGATAGTGGACTAATTAGATAAGGCTAGGAAACCTCTTCATGATTACCATCTGTCAAGATAACTCCACAAGTTGTTAGTGGGTTGTTGGCATGTGGACGTGATTATAGTGGAGGTTAATGACTAAGCCTTCTCTATAAATACTCATGCAAACTATCTCAGAAAGATATAACTCTTGAGCATAAAAATTCCAGTAGCCTTCTAATAACATAAAGAGAGTTATTATCCTTCTTATATTCTTGAGTGCAATAGGTATTTGTAATCACATATTGTATTCAAGTACTTAGGGGTTGGGATTGTGAGTTTGTAAAGTGAGGTCAAGGAAGCTTCGTTGCTGAAGGCTTCTGTGAGAGTTGGGAACAAGTTCCTAGTTTGTGGAACTTGTTAACGGGTTTGAATCTTCACTTGTAAAGAGTTTGATTACATAGTGGAAATTTAGAAAAGCCTATATCTTCTCTCGTCATTATTTCATTTAGTTAAATTCCGCAAAAGTTTTTAGATTTCACCTCAAATACAATTCACCCCCCCTCTTGTATTAGCCAGTTAGACTTTCAGTTGGTATCAGAGCAGGAACTCAGAACACGCAGGCAACCCTGTTGAGTAAGTTCCTGGAAAATGGCTTACACAGAGGAAAAGGAATTCGGGAGTACATCCATTCAAAGGCCTCCATACTTCAACGGCAAATATTATCCTTATTGGAAGGATAAGATGGAAATCTTCATCCAAGCAGAGAATTATCAGGTATGGCGGATTATACAAGTAGGAGATTACGAAATTACGAAAACGAATGCTAACAATGAGGTAATCCCTAAACCTATGGATGAATATGAAAAAACTGATTTCGAAAAATTAGAAATGAATGCTACTGCCAAAAAGTTTCTAATTTGGGGACTTGGACCCGATGAACATACTCGTGTCAAAGGGTGCAAATCCGCAAAGGAAATTTGGGATCTTCTGGAAGTTACACATGAAGGAACGTCAGATGTTAAACGTTCCAAAATAGATATTCTTTTATCTCAGTATGAGCGCTTTGAAATGGGAAACAAAGAATCCATTAAAGACATGTTTACTCGATTTAAAAGTATTACTAACGAACTAACGTGTCTTGGTAAGATAATTCCTATAGATGAGCAGGTCAGAAAAGTCTTAAGAAGTCTTCCAGACAATGACAGATGGAGAGCAAAGGTTGCAGCGGTGCAGGAATCAAAAGACTTCACCAAGTTCAATCTGGAACAGCTTGCGGGTTCCCTCATTACTCACGAGATCCAGTCGAACAATCGGACTCAGGAGACTGTCAAAAGTCAAGGGCTAGCATTAAGAGCTAATGAAGAATCCGAAGAGAAGTCTGACATCGATGAAGAAGAAGCTGCAATGTTGGTGAGAAGGCTGAAAAAATTCTACCGTAACAACAAGTTTTTAGACAAGAAGAAAGGATACAGTAAAAGAAATCAGGAACCCAAAGCCAAGTCTTCTTGTCAC